AAAAAAAATGTGCTAATATAAAGAAAAAAATTAACCGGATAGGAACAGCAAGCAAACACAGGACAGATAATATTTATATAATCAACCTCGATAATATTCAAAACTCGATAAACTCTCACTAAGAAAAAAGTCCGTTGAACGGCAGATTGAAGGCATAAGGAGGATTGTGTGTCGATGAAAGCGTTGTACGCGGGCTAAGCAGAGGCAGTATACGGGAAAAGTAAGTACAAATCCTAGAGATAGCCCTTAGAAATGTATACTCTCAGCGTGTCACTCGGGTTATATCTTAGGCACCAGTTTGTTTGGTCAGAGATCGGCATAGGCAATGAGATCCCTAGCCTTTTACCAGTACTTTTTGACACTTTCCACGGATTGCCCAATGAAATTGGTTGAAATCGGTTTTCGTCCACATCTCCGTGTCAGTTGGTGTCCCATTTACTCTTTCAATCACCCTGAGAAGACATCTATTAATTCTTATATTTGAAGTTAGAAAGCGTAGATAAGAAGAAGCAATTGATCCAGAATCGTCACCTGTACCTTATTTCTCTGCCCATATCTGACAGGCAGAGAACCTTGCCTCGCCCGCCGCTCTTTTCTGCTGTTCGGTTGCTCTCGAAACAAAGTTCTATGTCGCCCCTATAACGACTATTTGCAATAAGTCAAATCCCCAAGCAAGAATTGGGATTCGAAAAACTAATCAACAAAAACTTAGAGAAAAAATAGTTCACCTCCGCTTATGATACGACAGAGTGAGATCGAGATCAAGGGCCATTTTCATCAGCATAGAGACGCACTGCCCATCATTGAGAGAAAAAGCGGAGCCATGAGTGGAGGAGTTCACCCTGGAAAAAGTAGGTGAAGTCAAGAAAGCATCATGGGAAACTTTTAAGTGATGAAAATATTCGTAAGATAAATTTTTGAAAAGATAAAATTTTCAATAGATATACTTCTGCTCAAAACCAAAAAACTATATTAATTAGGTTAGCCTACGGGGGCGGCGTTACTGCATAAGGTTTGCCAGAGGCCACGGGCCCTTGATTGTCGAGGACAGAACGGATACCAGTCATCACCCGCTACCCGCAATTCGTTCTAGGATCACGTATAAGGGTGCGCCAGAAAATGTGACAACCGTTTGATCATTGCTCTCATCCGACTTTTTTCTAAGCCTTAAATACTCATTAAGAAGAAGTAGTTAGAGTCCATTATGATAGGATGTCATAGATACTAACTCTTCCCTTAAGTACTTATTTTGACTTTGCTGGAGCACCTTAAAGTAACTGGTGATCACATTTTCGCTGGTATTAAATTATCCTGTCAAACAATTTTCCAACTATGTTAGAGATATATTTAGGTCTACGAATAAGGCTTCAAGCCAGCATTAAAGCCACATACAACTTAATATCGTAATTTTAACTGATAGAAACAGGTATAAGTCGCTTGTAAGTGGGAGTACCAAGCATGCTACGCTTCAAAATAAATCATTGAGGACTTGAAGTAGTTAGTAATAATCAAACACTGATCACTTTTTTGGAACATTGCCTTATGATAAATGATGCACACACACCGTCTTCCTATTACTAAACAACAGATTAAGAGATGATGCTTTTCGAA